TAATTCTCTCGCTGTTCCACGCAAAGCAAAAGAAGCCATTGGTGGAATCACTCGTCTTACTCATGCTGATGGTACTATCGACTAGCCTTGTTATTATCAATTCTCCATGCTAACAAATAGGAAAGTACTATTCCTTTGCATGTTATGATTACATAAATGCCTAATGGTCGGATTGAATGTGCTATCTTGTCTGAATTTATGGTTATTCCTTGGAGAACAGAACACTGAGAAAAACATAGCGGCATATAAGAACTCTCTTTTTTCATTTTTCTTGTTATTACTGCTGTACCTTAAAATCTGTAAATCTTAATCTACTGTGGATTATTGCAGTTTTAAATTGTTGATAACATAACTGTGAGACAGCCAATAAAACATAGTGATCTCAACTATTTGGGTCCTTCATGTCTTTCTGTCTCTTGAATTGTTGTATAAATTTCTTTGTCACCAAGGGGCTAGGATCAGCTTCCAATAGTTAGCTGCATTGTGTATCATCCAACTTGTTGAACCAACAACATTCACATTTTATATCAATTTCTGGTAATTGGTGACTGAGGATTTCCAGACCTCCATATGTAGGATAGCAGTAGCTGTTATGAATTTCCCCTCTCAAGGTCTTTGAAAGTTTTCTTGGATGAAATTTACATTTTGGTACTTGCTCAGAAAATCATAAATGAAGCTATATTTTCATCCTTTGTCAGGGAGGAGTATGGTAATCAATGTGGAATATAATCAGCTTGATCCACTGCTTAGAGCAACTGGACATCCTGATGGTGATGTCAACAATGAGACTGGCTTTTCTCCTTTTCCAGGAAATATAAATCAAGTAATCTTCTATCAAACTTATAGCATTTCTTCTTCTCTTATATAAAAACTTGTGGCTACATTTTTTTCTTAGATGTTCATGCCACCTTACTATACAATCTCTTGAAGACATCACCAGTTGGTTCTACTTGCATGGATTAATAATAATTTGTACTCTCGGCTCATATTTGTAATTTTCAAATTCCAGTTTTTACCTAATCCAATACTTTTTGAGTGTGTTATCTGTCTATTAGTACATGTGAAATAGTATCATAAGTTTTTAATCCTTGTTCTTTTTGTTCCCAAGAGATTGTAGTTGACAGAAAGCTTGTAAGTGCTAGTACTTGTGAGAATGGAAGCAGAGAAAGATGCTACATCATCATTATGGACGATTAGATTTTAAAGTTAATTAACTAATTATCATCGCTTTAGTCCAACTCAAAGTATATATGAAATAGTTGGGAAAGACGGGTAATTCTTTGATTTTGTCTAGGTTTCTACTTCTATATACTGCTTTGATACATAGTGAAATCTATTAAAATGCTTTCGATATGTATGTTTCACAAGGTTATAAATGCGAGGAAATCCTTGTTCTGTGGATTTTATATAATGTGAAATAGTGGATTGGATTATTCTCTGGTCTTGTGTGTGATTTGCACTTCAACATCTTTTTGCAGTTAATTTTAGAACTTGGTCCTTATATTGAGGAGCTGAGCAAAACTGGAGGTGCTATAAAGGAGTTTGTCAATCCCAAGTATTTTTCTTGCCCCTATTTTTGGAGTTCCCATTTAGAGTTTGTATTTCTTTTGGTGTGAAACTCTTGGATTCTTATCCATTGTTTCAGAAGTTCTCATGGAAAGTTCAAATTTCTTGCATAGAAGTGGTATCTGTATTCTTATCCAGTTGCTTTACTTCTTGATAAGTTCGCTATCCTTGTCAATTTCTTCCTTTCTTTTTTAGTATTCTTTATTAGCCGTATGAAAATGTGAGCTCCATCTTGTAATGGAAATAACTTACTATATAGTCTAGTTAATATCCACGTATTGAGAATCCCCAAATAATAAAAATTCCATAAAGAGATTTTGTTATAATTGAATCATTTTGCTTTAGAACTGCTTTCACAATGAATTATTCCCTGGTTACAAAATTTGACGGGAATTTACTTGGTACAATGCTGTTGCTAGAAACAGTCTTGGGGGGAAAAAAGATTTCATCAGTTTTTAAAGATGTCTTTCAATTATGATAAAGGCCTTGAAAATTAAACACTGTTTCATTTTTTATTACATGATTACGGCAGCTTACAAATTCGTTCATCTTCAATAATTTTGCAGATATAAAGATGCTAGCAAGACTTCTTTTAAATCTTCAACCCGATTGGAATGTATGATGCAAGATTATCCAAAAACATTACCTGCATCAGCTAGGGTTGGATTTACGGTAATTTTTCTTCTCTTAGGAAGTAATACATATTTTCTTCTCCTAAAAAGCAACTTACTCTGATTCTTCTCATTATTTTTTTCTCGAGTCCAGTGGAACTTGTCTTAATTCTCTTATTGATGAAATAACTATTCTTGTTAAATATTTATTTTCGTTTAAAGCATTTACTTTCATTTTTTTAGGTGATGGATATCTGGCTTGCTTATGCACCAGTGAAGAATAACCCCGAGGATGCTGCTAAGGTAAAGTTGGAACCCSTAGAACAATTCACATTATTCAACAAACCGTTCGAAAATTATAGATATCAGGAACACATTTAGAACACATCTATTCATGTTCACCTGTTTCACTTTTATTCTTGGTTTTGCAATCTCAAGAAAGTTTGACCTGAATACATATCATTAAATTCTATAGTTTCAGTAAATAACTAAACTTTACGAGTATCTATATATCTTTGTGTGATTGGCTCACTTATCACTCAAAATTATGAACTAAATTTTTTGTAGGTACCGAAGGGAAATCCATATCACAGTGCCACTTCTGGAGAAATGGCCATCTATCGTGCAAATTGTCTTATTCTCAGAAAGGTATCATATCACAGTATCTCCCCCTGTCTAAGGAAAATGAGAAACTTTATGAGTAAAAACAAAATCACGAAAGCAATAAGATTTTGAAGTCCTATATAATTACAATCTATAACATGAATTTCGTTTTGTAAAATCAGAAGTATTCACCCTTTTAAAGCCCTGTTTGATGACCATTATGTTTTTGGTTTCCTATTTCTGAAAATTAAACTTGTCAAACACTACTTCTACCTATGTGTTTTTATTTTTTCATCATACTTGTAACAAAATTTTTCAAAATCTAAGCCAATTTTTTAAAACTACAAAAGTAATTTTAAGAACTTTTTGTTTTCAAAATTTGGCTGAGAATTAAAATGTGTTCTAAGAAAGGTGAGACTTGAGAGGAAGCATGTAAGCAAGTTGAAGAAATTGATAAATGAAAAAGGAAAATTGTTTAGGATACAAGCTCCTAAAGGAGGTGACGGCCTGCTACTTTTCCTCTGAGAATTTTATTTTTTATTTTTTTTGCATCCATTAGGGTTCTTTCATTATTATATCGAGCTTCGACAAAAATCAACAAAAATTGTTCTTATCTAGTGGCCTGTTGTTGAATGGAAAATACAGTCATCTTTATACCATAAAAATCAACAAGTTTTCCTTGGTTCAAAGGTGTGTGTACTTGGACTTGGACAAACGGGAAGAACCAGATGTTGAGGAATATTACCTTAACAACTCATCTATTTCTCATCTAGGTGGAATTTTATAGGTCCATTCTCATTTCTTCGCTTCTATCACTTGCTCGGCATTGATGTTTTGACTTTCGAATCTGATGGGGAGGGTATTCTGGTTCAGAAAAAGACTCCCTATGCCACTTAATATGTTGGCAGTCCTGGAACTTCTCACCGTTGGTGAAATGTTTTAATTCCTGTAACTGTCTTTCAACCGAAATATCTGTTTCTTTTCAGCTTGAGTCCTTTATTTATTTTCTTTCAGTGCAGGAACTAAAATTGGTGTATGTGTCTGCTGCGTTTACGTAGCTTGTATCACTATATACGATGGAATGAACATCGTGTATGAAAGTGTTGGCAGTGATGTCATATAAATCACTTTAGTTAGTTGCTGTCAGCTACTAAGATTAAGCTAGTAACTCTCTCCTTGGTATTTAGAACTTGAGCCTTTACTTTCTATCTTGGCAGGCAGGAGTCCAAGTAGCCGATCCAATCAAACAAGTATTCAATGGCCAAGAGGTTGAAGTCTGGCCTCGCGTCACATGGAAACCCAAGTGGGGTTTAACCTTTTCGCAGATAAAGAGCAGAGTTAGCGGAAACTGCTCCATCTCTCAGCGTTCTACCATGGTCATTAAGGGGCGTAATGTTTATCTTGAAGACCTCTCCTTGGATGGAACTCTTATTGTGAATGCAGTTGAAGATGCTGAGGTATGCTGATAGCAACGGATATAAAATTTAAAATTGAGTGATTTTCATTTTCCTGTTATTGGTAAGATCTGCCCACAACTATAGAAAACAATTTCTAAGATTTTTCTATTCAGCATCAGACTGGAAGCATATTCGGCTCTTTTGGTGCAGTATTTCAAACTACACATGCTTAGAATTACCTGCCAATTTGAATTATTCCGTCAAATACAATAGTTTCCATGCGCACATAGACAAATTACTATTTCAAACAGACAATAGAATTCTCCCAACTGTTGTGTGTTGATTGACCTTTCACTTGCATCAACTGAGCCATGTTGTATTCGTCTTGGCAGGTAAAAGTAGGCGGTTCGGTGCAAAACAAAGGCTGGACTCTTGAACCCATTGATTATAAAGATACATCGGTGCCCGAGGAAATAAGGATCAGGGGCTTCAGAATCAACAAAATCGAGCAGGAAGAGAGAAACTGAGCCAGGACTTCAGCCTGGAATGCCTCGAAGGTGAAGTTCTTATTCATGGTATTTGTTGGACCAGTTTTCACTGTGAAATAAGTTTTTCCTTCCTCACTCTAGGAAAAGAAACTTTGTAACATTTTTGTTCTGTAATAAATATATATTTTAAGTTAGCCTCGAATAATTCGGTTGAGTAATAAAATTTTTGAGATGGGAGGATGAAATTTATGATACTCCAGTTCTGTGGCATGATTGAACTTGACCCTTCATATCCAGAAAGGGGTGTGACCCTCGTGTTTGCATAATACATAGAATTAAAAGCTGCAACCCCACCTCAAAAATAGCCTTACTTTTTTCCAATTTGGCCTGTATTCATTCTCAACAAAACCGCCTTGTGAATTCCCACCACAGACTAGGACTACTATATTCTTTTTCTGGCAATAGAAAAAATGTTCCATTGACTATAGGAAATTTCCAGGAAAATGTGTGTAGCTCATTTTTTTGGCCTTTCCTCCTCTTGGCTAGTAGCTCTGTATAATCACCCAGGAAAATAAGAGGCGGCTTCAACTTGGTGATCTAAATTACGCACTTTTTCGAGCTATTAGAAACGAAACAACTTTGCATCTAACTGTTAGGAGAATGATACTACAATTTCTTCGTAGGCATCGCCACAGATTTGAGCTCATCAAACTTTTCTGTCTTTGCTGTCCATTGCTCGTCCAGGAGATTTAGAAACCCAAATAAAATCTGTCTTATTGTCTGACCAATCTGATGCTTTCCAGGATGAATGGAATCAACCAAAGTGGGGTGGGTATGGAAAATTGTGATTGACGAAAGCGATCAAAATATCTCATGAATTTCTACAAAATTTTAATGGGAAAAAAATCTTCTCAACTTCTGTGGACTTTTCTACAAAATTGATTTCATTTTGGATCCAATGGACAATGTTAGAGCTGACCATTAACATCCAATAGAATGTGGATTTGTACGAAACAGCAAGAGAAGACTGAGAAAAGTAGAAACTTCTAGCAAATTTCCATTTCTCCCTTTCTTTATGGCCCTTCAAAGTTCTCATCTCTTCTTTGTCTATAAAATTAAAATCTGCGGCAGCCAATCTATCATTCAGTGACAACAATAACGTAGCATTTCACGTTTCCTCTGGTTATCTTCTGTTGTGTTATTCAAAGCCAAAAACCAAAAACATGTCTCCGATCTGCTCCAACGACTTGCTTAAGATCTTCAACAAACTCGACAAGAACTGCGATGGCCTCGTCTGCCTACAGGAGCTCCATTGGCTTCTCGACCGTATTGGCATCCAGCTAACCATGGAAGAGCTCGAGTCATCTCTGGAGAAACCAAGCCTCGACTTCAATGAGTTCTTGTTCTTTTACGAGTCGATATCGAAGCGAAACAAAGGCGAGTGCAACGGCGGTGTGGGCGATGACGAGAATGAGATGTTGGATGGGCATGAAGGGGAGGAAGATGTTGACATTGTCTATATGGCGTTCAAAGTTTTTGACATGAACGATGATGGCTTCATTTCTTGTGAGGAGCTTCGGAGTGTGTTGTTGAGACTGGAGCTTTGGGATTCAAACAGAAGCGACAGCGAGTGCCGAAACATGATCCGAGCTTATGACACCAATTTGGATGGGAAACTCGATTTCGAGGAGTTTAAGAACATGATGTTGCTCACGACTTCTTGATTCTCTTTGAGCTGAGGTTGCTGAGAAGTTTTGATCTCTATTGAATAAGCTTAGCTAACACAAGAAAAGAAAAAGAGAAGAAAAAAAATACATACCTATTTGTCCTGCTAGGAAGAAAAAAATACTATCATTCAAATGTAGCCACGGTTAGTTCGTTTACATCTCTATTGATGCATCACATGGATTTATTATCATTTTAAAAGTTTTTTAAAAGTTGATGGTTCGATCCTCTATCCTACAAAAGCTTGAATTAAAAAAAAAAAATTCAAGGGAAAATTAATATTTAAAATAAAGAAGATACCTAATAATCTACGGTTATTTTTAATGGTGATTGTATTTGTTCAAGATGTCTATTTTTTAAAACCTATTTATTTATTATTATTGCAAAGGTTTTTATTATTGTTTTGCGTATCAAGTCTTCCACATGCTCGAAAATTCCAGGAAATTCGAGTATTGGAAAAAAAAAAACGGAATTATTGTACAAGTTGACAACTTAGACATGATGATTGTTCTAGAAGCTAGGAAGACGAATTTGAAGAGCTTTGATTTATATCTTACGTCCAACAACGAAACAACCAACGATAACATCAACCATAGAAATTGTACGCATAAAATGTATTCAACTTTGCATTTGGAAAGTCTTCCAATTTTTTCCTTTCTGGGTCTATTTTTATATAGATCTCTTATACTTTTTATATTTAAACAAAAAATAATTGGATAAGTGAGTTTTCTTTTCTTTTCTTTATTATTATTTTTTGCAAGGACTGATGATTTTGAATATTTTGAATTCAAGATCGAAGACACAAATGGAACAAAAAGTGACAATGAGACCTTATTTTTTTGATTATATCCACAATGATCTCAACAACATTTATTTTATTTTTATTTGGTCCGAAGGGAAAATATAGATCTCACGACCTGAGATCAAGGACACAAATATTAGAACAAATATACATGCCAATAAAAATACCACGAGAAACTCAACAACACAACTAAACTTATTCCGGCAGTTGATAGCACCAATCTCACACAGCAGTTGGCAAAGCTTTAAACTATGGGGACACTTTTCAAGATGAGAGTCTCAATGGTGAGGCCTGGCCCGAAAGCCATAAGCACACCACAGTCGAATCCATGGCCAGTGGTGCTCTTCCCTTGTCGAATGGATTTGTTCCTCATCTCATCCAAAACAAACACCACAGTGGGGCCTCCCATGTTCCCATACTCACTCAGCACCTGCCTGCTGGATTCCAATTTGGCTTCTCCCAGTCCAAGATTCTTCTCAATTTCATCAAGAATTGCACGACCCCCCGGATGAATCACGTAAAACAACGAGTTGTAATCACACTCAGCGCCAGCCAAGCATTTCTCGATGTTTCTGCCAATGTGTTTTGGTATGTTTCGTGACAAATGGTAGACCAAACCCATTTCTTTGATGCTGGCATGGACTCCATCATCTTCGGTGTCCGGGACCACTGTCTGCCCGGCCGAGACTATTTGAAACAGCCCTCGTTCCACGGCGGCATCCGGGTCGGCGCCAACGACCACGGCAGCGGCCCCGTCTGAGAAGATGGCCGGGCCGACCAACATGTCGACGTGTTCATCGGGCGGGGCGTGGAAGCCGATGGTGGTGGAGTCCACGCACACGACGAGAACACGAGCGCCGGAGTTGTTCTCGGCGACGTCCTTGGCGAGGCGGAGGGCGGTGGCGGCCGCGTGGCAGCCGAGCTGGAAAAGCATGTATTTTCCGACGGAGGGGCGGAGGCCGAGGAGGTTGGAGAGATGGAAGTCGGGTCCGGGCATGGAATTGGAAGAATATGTGGTGAAGATGAGATGTGTGATTGTGGAGATGGGTTGGCCCCAGTCTTGAATGGCTTTGAGAGCTGCTTCTTTTCCTAGTTTAGGGACTTCTTCCGCCATCATTTTCAGGCGAGCGTCCAACGATGGAGCACCATATTTGCACATGTTAGGGTTTGCCTTTAATATCTCTTCGTTCCAATGGAAGTAACGTTTTTTTATCGCCGACTTCTCGCCTGTACACAACGTATAATTGAAGACATCAAAGATTGCAGTTTGTCCATTTTGACTCTTTTCGCTTCACTTTAGTCTTCTTACTTTCCAAATGTTCGTTTGGATCACTATGAAGAAGGATCATTTTGGTCTCTATAAAATCATGGTTATATTTTAATAATATATTGAATGTCGTATCGTATTGAAATTATGGAACAAAAATAAGAGATTACTAATAAAATTTATGGACCAAAATAGTCACTAAAAGAACCAAAATGAACCCGGGAATAAAATAACCAAAATTGAAACTAAAAGGTCCAAATTGAACCTTTTAAAAATACATATATCAAAATAAACTAAAGCACAAAAACCAAAATAGATGTTTAACCTTTTGAGCATGTTGATTTACGAGTTTTGTGGGTGGAAATGGAAATTGGTAAAAAGATACCATTGTTTTTAATAATTTTCACTAATAAAAATATATTACTTATAATTAATTTATTAATTATACTTTAACTAACTAATTAAGATTATCTAATAAATCTAATTAATTTAAACTTTTTATTATTATTTTATTAATTAGTTAATTTATATTAATTCGAATAAAAAGTAAAAATATATTAATTTATGCAAAATAATTAAAATTTCAACATAAACATAACTCAACTAGTTAAGACACTTATCTCTAGGTCGTGGGTTCGAAGATGCTTAGACGACATCAATTTAACTTAAGATCAAAGATGCTGAGACAAATTAAAAAAAAACGAAAACAAAAAAACTAATTTCTTGGGTTCAAAGAGTCGACTTCTTCCCAAGATATGATGATCAATCGATCCTACTTTGAATGTTTTTGGCAAGCTCAAGACACGAATTATATTGCAAAATAGTTGAAGTAGCTCCTAGCCAAACTCAAAAGAAAAAACTCAATGGCCAAGATTATAACCTGAACTAATCTATCAAACAATCTAATGTCAAGAGTTTAGATAGCCTCCCAAGTACTAAACCCTAAATACCACACTATCAACCATAGTAACTACTTAATATGTTGAAAAATGGTAAGATTGAAAAGCAATAAAATTATTACTAACAAAGTCTTTAGGCAGTTCATATCATTACAATATTGTACGCTAAAACAATTTCATGCAGAATTCTTCGAGTTTTTGCTTGGACATAATTTGTGTGTATACGTTCATAAATAAATGGAGGTTGGATAACATTATTAGAGTAGTTGCGTTTGGAATTTGGATGATGAGATGAGAGGGAAGAAAAATGCTTACAAATACGTTGGAGCTTTTGTTTCAAGAGTGTGTTGTGTTGGGTGTTGGTGAGGCTGAAATAGAGATCGGGAAATTGGGTTTGGTAGACACAGTTGGGTGGGACGGCGGTGCCAATGCCCAAAATGGTAGCTCTGTTATTGCCTTCCTCTTTCTCCGACACCATTTAGCTGTTCTAATTTCAACTCTACAGAACAAGATGTACAAAATTATTTAACCCGATGGATTTGCTTTTCCAATTCGACCACATATATATATATATATATATAATGTTTTCTCTTTCTTTGTTTTTTTTTTCTCTTTTTAATGTGCAATATGAAAAGGTGGGAATTCGAATTCACGACTTCTTTCTTAGATAGATAAATATCTTATGGAACTTGTTATACCCAAGCTATCTAAATATAAGTCAAATTTGCACCCCAAATGCTTCTCAATACATAGTTGATTTTAATCAAATTTTTGATTTCCATTAAAATTAATGAGTTCTTGGAGATTTTTTATTGCTATTTGTTAAAATTAGGAAAATACTTTGCTACTAAAGATTCGTGATCACTTATCGGAATACCTCTTTGGCCCAATAACATGTAGATAAATGTTGGCTTTTTTTTCTTTTTTTATTTATTTACTTTTAATATCTCCTATTTTGTCTCTTCATCTCTTCTCTCCCCTATGTTGCATTACATCTCCTTCATTTTTCAGTTCTTATTTTACCTCGAACTATATGTTTCAATTCAAATGTTCGCTTAAAAAATTCGAATTTACTATATCTTTTTTTTATATATAAATATATTTTATCTTTTTAACTGTGTCTCTTCAATACTATTTCAAAAAGAATATTTTTTCCATGGTTACAAAAGAGAATTCTTATGTTTCTTTTTCTTGCCACAAATAAAACTTGATATATTTTTCATTTGGGTAGAAAATTTAACTTCTTTTTAAACAAATATTTGTCTTTTAGTTTATCTTTGTTTCTCATGTTTTTTAAATACAAAAGGATACATTAAATTGAACAAAAATAGATAAGACAAATGAATAAGAGAATTACTTACGATTTTTTAAAATAAAAAATATTAAAAAAATAGAGATAAAATTAGTGAGGCTTTGTAGAAGAGAGAAAAAGGGAGAATAAGAAGTTGGAGGAGAGAGAAAATAAAAAAAAAAGAAAGAAACAAGGACGAGAGAAAAATTAAAGGAGAAAAATAGGAGATAGATATTGAAGTTTGTTGATCACGTAGACATTTTAGGAGGACGTGCTACTAAATCTTAAGGAGCGAAGTTTTGTCCTTAAAATTAATAGACCAAATTAGAGAAAATTGAATAGAAAAGTAAAAATTACAACACGTATTTGAGTTTATGGTTCAAATTTTATATGAAATTAAAAGTTCATGGTGAAAATTCAAAATGTAAAAATAAAATTTTTTTTCCTAATAAGCCCCATTTTGAATTTATCAACTTTAATAATTTCGGAAAATAAACCTTATCTCTCTTTACAAGAAAGTAGCTATTAAAACTATCAATAAATTATAGCACTTCCATCACGGTTTAGACAATTATATTTTTCTACGACTCAAAGTTTGGGTTTTACGTTTTGATGAGAGAAAGCACAAAAAATATTATTTATATATCTTATAATCAAGTTTTACAACTACTCTTTCCAGTTCAAAAGAAAAACATATATATACAAATCTATGATTTCATAATGGAAAAGGAAAATTTCTACAAGTAAAAGAGCTTGGATAGCTAAGAAAAAGAACCTCCCCAAAAAGTCTGGTTCATTTTTTTTTTCTCGCATAATTCGAATAAAATAATAACATAATAATAAATGCTCGTGTATCTAAAAAAGAACAATGATTAATAAATGCTCAAAAAATCAACCAATGTCATCATATCTCCATCCTAACTGTTACATTAAAAATAACGAATGTCACCATATCACCTCGTAAAAAAAGTCAACTGTAAAAAGTCGAGCCCAATAATTACAAGCGCCTTGTGGAAGAAGGGAGTGGAGAAAAAGTCAAATATATCGGGAGTACGCAAAGTCGAATGCTTACACAAAGTTAGAAATTTATGGTTGACAAAATTTAAGAAAATTAAAATTTGCTCAAATTTGACTTTTGAATTTGCTACCAAACATATATATCAATAATTATTACTACCGGGTATATATTTCGATTTCGATTTCGATTTTAAAAAAATTTGTAGTAAACAACTCAAATGAATAAAAATCTCATTTCTAAATTAGATGGTCATCCTAAGATCTGAACCTATTCCTTCGTAATTAATCATAGTTAATTGAACTAATGATTCATCCATGATAATTAATACGTCTTTGTTTCTCAACACAAAAAAAAATCTTTTTTGTGTTGAGGAAGTATGATTAATTATTTAGATAAATATATTACAATTATAGAGTAAGATTAAATTCAATCTATAGAAAATATTATTTTTTTACATTAACCGCACATTCATATTTATCCTATAATACATGACTGACATGAATTCATATATATATTTATTTTTTGTTTAGATGAATATATTACACGGTAAAGATTTTAACTTAAAAAATATATATTTTTTATATCTTAATCATTTTGGAACCATTGATTTGCATTGATTTTTAAATCATTTATGTTGTTTTGTGTGAAAAGAAAGGAAAATTTTGAAATTGCAAAAGATTTAAAATCTGTTTTTTTTGATAAAAACAAAAAAATTCCGTTCCAAATAGGTCGAATTTAGAAGGATTTGAAATTAAAACATAAGAAGTTCCAAATTTACCATATTTTTAAGAGAAAAAATAGATTTTCCATTTTTTTTAAATTTATTCTCATCACTCTACCCTACACCTATATAATTATTTTATGAATATTTTTCTACGCAAATTGTCAAGCATACTGCAATTTTTCTTTTTTGTCTTTCTACCTACGTCTTTTTGGATCACCATTCAATCAACAACCAAATTAATTACCTATTTTGCTTGATGGTCTCGATCAGTTTTATTTCTTTTTTATTTCAATTTTATAACACTAATTAGGATCAAAATAATTTGAGTTCCAAATAAAATGGATTTGCATAGTTTGATACATTTAAAATTTCTATATATATATATATATTCTTTGTGCATGTGTTATTGTGTTTTAGTATGACATTTGTTATGTTTGTTTTTTTTTCAAATGAGGAAGTATGAACACAATAGTTCAAAAAAAAAATACGAGTGAAAATAGATTAATGGTTTGAGTTTTTTTTAGGGTAAATTGTACAAACCACCCCTAAAGTAACAAAAATTTTGATAAGTGAAAAAATTAGACCCTTGAACATTTATTAGTAAAAAATAAACCTTCAAATTTTCATGGACGATGAAATTAAACCTCTAAATCATTTAATAGTAAAAATGAAGCCCATAAACTTAAAAAAATTACATCCTATTTTACTCTATTTCTCCCACAAACCCTTAAAATGAGTATTAGAAGGATAACTAAAATTGTGTCTCACAAAATATTCAAACCCATTCTGTTTAACACCAAATTCTCTAAACAAATGCTGAAGAATTGGAATATCCATAAAATTAAATTTCACCTCTTTAATTGAGAAGAATGATATATTTGCTCCATTGAAAATTATCTGTGCCTATTTCTCAGTTACTGAGAAATAAAAGCTAATTTTGTTCTGTGTCTTTTTATTCGCAGCAACCTCATGGGAACTGAAGGGCCTCCACCAAAAATTTGTCACACTCACTCTCTTTGTTTGAGGGCTTGTGATCTTGTTTTCTTGGAATTTTATTTCACTTCCGAGTTCTGCGGTATTGAAGAAAAATTATAGCCATTAAATCAATCTCTGTTGGGGCTATTTCTCTTATAAATGATTTTCTTCATAATGATTTTCCAAAAAAAAAGAGAGAGAGAGAACGTCGAATTCCTGCACCTAAAAATCAATTTTCCACAATTTCCATTTCGACCGGAATTAAATGACCAAAATCAGTGAATGTTGGGAGAGCGTGAGAAAAAGTAGAGATCCGAAGGAAATAAGAGTAAACCAAATGTAATTTTTTAAAGGTTAGGGATGCAATTTTATCATTTATGAAAGTTTGAGGGTTTATTATTTACTACTAAATATTTGGGGGTCCAATTTTTTCACTTATCAAATCTCAACGTTTAATTTTTACAATTGAAAGTTTAAGGGTGTAATTACAACAACTACCATAGTTTAAGGGTGTTTTATGCAATTTACTCTTTCTTTTAGTTGTAATCAAATTGATTATTTTAGTTTAGATTTAAAAATATATATTTCAATATAAATATTTATATTTTTTATTTTACTTTTTCTAAAAATTTAATTGAAAAATTTAATTTATTAATTTGATTGGGTTAAATGATTATATTTCATGTGAAAATATTGTACTATTATTAATATAATATTACAAAATTACAAAGATATAATAGTCACACTTCCTTTTCAATTCTCTAATTTCAATTATTTAGAATCAATGTGGTTCTAAATACGAGGAATTCAAAATCATTTCCATTATTTAAAATTTTGTAATTTGAAATCATTTTCATCTGGAACATAAATCATATTTAAGTTTTTTTTTTTTTTTTAACAAAAGTCATATATTTAAGTTATGGATGTAACAGACATGAATTCATGTATATGAATTAAATTATTTTTTTCTATTATTTTATGTATGTCATGAACTTTAAGAATGTTGTATCGTGTTTTATCTATTATATAATGTTATATAACAAGACTATATTGTAACTATAATTATTATTGTTACCGTAAAAAAAGTTTAATGTACAATATTATATTAGGGGCAACTTGAGATATGGTAAAAAAAGTTAGGAAAATAAGCAAAATAGCAACAAGGTTTGAGTTTTTCAAATATAGCATTTGCTTTTGAAAAAAATGGAGGCCCACGTTCTAAATTACAAATATATCCTACAGGCCCGAACCAACGATAAATTACTTCTGATATACTAATGATTGACAGATATACTCCTGATATATATGTGATATATGTTTGATATACATATGGTATGAAATTGATTTACTTCTGATATAACTATGATATCTACTACTATAGGTGATATAGAACTGATTGACTTCTTGTATACTATTGATTTACTTCTCATATAACTATGATTAACCTATATACTCTTGATATATATGTGATAGAACTTCCAAATATTTTAGGTTGGATGTTCATTTCTTTATCGGTGAATATTTAAGAATATAACACATTTACTAACTTAAGTATAGCTAACTAGTTAAAGCAGGTATATTTTCAACCAAAAAACTAAATGATCGAGTTTCAATTAAAATAAATAAATCACGTCAACTCAAATTAAATCAAGTTCAACTTTTAAAAAAAATTTTATAAGTGCTTTGTGAATAAGCATTTCCTTTCGAATTTTAAAGATCACGGTTTACTTTGTAATTAAAATCTTAAAAAATACTTTGATTAGCAGGAATAACTTGACGCTCCTAAACAATATTTATACCAAATTCATATTCAATAAAGAGAGTATGCAATGAATTGAAAAAAAGAAAACAATAAAGTATTATATAATCAGCTAAATTTGTAAACTTGGGAGCTGTTTGGTGATCTAATATAATCAGTTTGGTCCAGAAGTTAACATAAAAGTTAGTCAATTAACCACTTAAATTCATCAACTTTGAGGCTGCATTGGTTGCATTTATTCATTTTCTTGAGATTTTGAAGGTTAAGATCCTTTGCTCTAACAATTTTTTTAAACTTTAAAAAAAATTACAAGATTGATTCCTGCTTGTCCAAAGGTATCTAAATGTATCGAAATCCAACCCCTTTATATCTATGCTCTCAGTGAAATTGGTGTCAATGATTAACCCGAAAAAGAACAGTATTTATTCCACCAATAATTTATATATTTCATTTACAATTACTCTTAACATGGAAAAAAAAATTATTTGACTAAAATCTACCTTTAAAAAAAAAACAAAACAAAAAGGAGATAAAAGTAATTTAAAGCAAACAACATTCTTTAACCAACATTTCAATTACTTTCACTGACATTTTATTACAGCTATTTTTCGGGATTTGGAAAATAAATAGTTATGTTTCATACATTATGTAGCTGTATATGCTTTTTCCCTTGTTTCAATATTCACACAAAGACGAAGGACAAAAAAAAATACATATATATATTCACACAAAAACAACTTAATTATCTGGGAACCAAATAAACTCAGGTACATGCTGTTTTTGGCCATGGTGAAATTCTAACCCCGTATTAAGAACCAAAATTACAAACTACATGGTATTCTGTTTCAGATTACTCTTCGTGAATGTCGGAATCTTTCGACTTGTCCCTGACCAAATAACGATTTTCAGTACTGCTTAACCCAGCTGAATGAAGCTGTTTTCGCCGCTTTATAAGATGCAATGCAGTTTGTCGATCACCTCGGGCATCCCCAGAATCAGGCTGCACAGCAGAAAGATTTATTCTTCACCATATAATATATATAGGATGGGGAGAAAAAAATCAAGGTTTTACAGAGCAGAGCTTTAACAGAGTTTGACCACAAGCAATAAGATTTTTTTTTGTTTCATAATTTATTATAAATTATTGTTGTTTTTTTTTAATGAGAAACTACTATTTCATTGAGAGAAATGAAAAAGCTACACAGGCCAATAAAAAACAGCCAGACACCTTAGAGAAAGGGGCTCCAATCCAAAAGAATAAATCTTAATTGATAATTACAAAAGACACATGTCGATCCCCGGAGGGAAGTATTAAATCTAATAAGTTCCCAAACAACTTCAATGTATCTCTCCATCCCTTTTTTTATTCTCTTAAAAATTCAATTATTTCTTTCGTTAGCCGCACCCACAAATGATATAAATACTACCGTTGCTTTAGCTTTACTCACATCAGTAGCATATTTCTATGCGGGTCTTAGCAAAAAAGGATTAGGTTATTTCGGTAAATACATTCAACCAACTCCAATCCTTTTACCCATTAACATCTTAGAAGATTTCACAAAACCCTTATCACTTAGTTTTCGACTTGAGTCATATTCCCTACAAGATGGCAAAAAAATAGGCTTGCCACAAAAACCTTCCTCTATCCCAAAAATATGGGGACAACACCACCTCCTTCATCATCCCCGACACTCCTTGGTGCGAACTGAAGACTTCCCAAAGAACCAAAAAAAAAAAAACATTAAATGAAGTAATGAACAATCAGACCGAAGAGGTCGCTGTTTGGATACTAAATGATGTAAGAATCCAGTGCCTTCAACTGAGCCTCGCCCCGAAATAATTGGTACATTAACAATCAAAATGGTTTCCTTTTATACAGTTTCTTGTGGGAACAACTATGAGGGTTAGATTTTAACTGATTATGTAAGCACACGTGACAGACCAGAGTCAGCACGAAACAGTTGTACCTTATTTTAGAAGGTTTAAGTATAGTATAAACATAATAGGATGAACCTGCCAAAATCAGGATTTTAAATAAAGCTAATAAAGGAGTACCTTGATGGCTAGAGCTCTGTCAAAACTTTCAATAGCACTATCAGGTTCCCCAAAGTTTAACTGTGCTCTACCGAGAGTGATCCATGCCTAGTCAGATCAAAACAGACTGGAAATAAGTTTGAAAACTAACACATGAATCTAACTTCTTCACATTTACAGAATCTAACTCAACAAATGAATGAAGCAGTACGTTGGATGAGGAAATTTTAAATATTAAATTCATATCAGCAAACCAGCTCTATAAGGAAAGTTGGTCAGCTAGACCAACTATGTAAACTGATGAGGATTCATTCACAAGAAGATGCATCTTATAACGAGTAAAATTAGCAGAATGAATCAAGTACAAAACTTTCTCATGTTCACCTTAAGTATGGAGCCATGAATACCAAGACAGACACGTTACTTCAAGATTGCAAGAGAGAGAGAGAAAAAATAGGCAATTAAATGAATAGAATCCCCTGAGACAAAAACCATCGAAGACAAAGAAGAAGGGCACAATTCTTATAAAGGTGTAGCTGGATATTTGGTATTGTACTGACATAAGAGTTAGTTGTACCTCAGCCCATGATGGATCTAAGTCAGTAGCTCCTGCAGGTAGAATTCAGGAATAGATGTTTCAAGGGCATGAAGAATTAATTTTATTTTAATAATAGAGTTCAATCCAAAAACTCAAAAATAGGCCACCACATAAAAGATTAAAAATTAAAAAAATAAAACGGAGTAAGGTATGGCTCAATTACCCAGTTCATAAAGAGAATTTCGATTGTTCAAATAAACTTATTAGTATGCCCATGCCTATGCCCTAAGGACCAATCACCTATTTCACTTTCAAAATGGAGTTTGCCCACCTCCATGAAAATCTTAGACAATCCAAACTATCAAAATAATTGAAAAGAACATACTGCTTGCTGCCTTCAAAGCACCCCAAGCTTCACCAACCTCCAGCAGAACTTGTGCCTTTTGTTCATGTAAAACTGCATTTCCAGGCATCAAAGTAAGAGCATTCTCCCATTTTCCCAGAGCTTCCCGAAACTTTCCATCCTGAAAAAAGAAAAAACACACGGCCTTGGAGTATAATCATAAAATTCAACTTGTAACTATCATGAGGACTAAATCCATAATAGCAACAAAACACTATGTCACTCCACAAGCTTCAATTTATAAGTAAATTCTCCTAGGAAAAATCAACCCAAAGTTTTATGAACAGGTCTACTTTTACTCAAAATGTACCAAATAATGTCACTATTATCTGAAGCAAAAAATTGAGAAGAAAACAATTATATAGATAGTTAATTTTGAACTTTCTATTTCATAAGATATTGAATCATCTAGAAACATATCCATTTCGAAACATTTTTGTTTGATTTTAGAATTCATTTTAAACAAGACATCACACCATACAAATACACAAATGACTTCTCAACTTCTCATAAGAGATATATGTTCTATCTTCTTTGATGAAATATTTTAAGTACAAATATCACAACTTAACATGAAAATTCTTGAGAATGAAAATTAAAAACCATTGCATCTATTAAAATGTAAACCATGGGTTCCATTATTTACACCGTACATCAAGGGTTAATTTGAAATCAGGTCCACAGTCTGCTATCCATTACTGTTAGGGTGTACTAATAACGTATATATTAAAAATCTTCTCCAAAAACATAGGATCAAGATGTCAAGTAGCCATGAAATTCCTATCCAAAAGGAGAAACTCAGCCAATACAAGATCCAAAATTAATAAGTTTTTTTCCAAAATGGTGCTCAAATTTCTTGTTCCCGATACGATAGCCCCCTCCCCCTTTCAACAGTTTCCTAAGCTTTGGGCTTAATGAAGCTTCGAACTAATTGTTCATGAAGACTATTTGTTGTTGTATAGCAAAATACCACTAAGCAGCAAGTTTGTCGCAGCGTAATTATTTTCTCTTTGATTCATTCACCTTATGATGCTCTCTCCCTCGAAATTTCTTAAAATTTAACATACAGAATTAGATACTGCTTTCAAGTTCAAATTTGAAAAGAAACTTGTAGTTGTAGGTAAACAGACAAAATTAGGTCAAATTCTTGAAGAAGCAAACGTAGGAGGAAAAAACAGGTACCTCGGCCAGCCTATCGCCTTGAGCCTGAAATGATTCAGCGAGCCGTTTGAGGTCTGAGGAGCAGTCCGATGATTCATCCTCTCTCCGGTCTACCGCCTCAAGGTTTACTTCTTTGTCTTGGCGATTATAAGCACTATCGTCTTCCACCTCGCCGGCGCCGGGCACTTCAAAAGGAAGATTTGAACGGCTTGAAATCGCCGTCAGAGATCGCTTCCTAGTATTGCTCTTGTTCTTCCATGTGAGCTTCATCTTCCTCTCCCTCCCTCAGGCCAAGCTTACAGAGCCTTTTCGTAGTCGGAATGAACGCCGAACGGGCAGGTTCTCGGTCAGTTTCGGACTTACCCGATCCGGGCTGAAATTGGGCCCGAACTGAATAATCGGGCTGTAATAGCCCAGATATTTACATACACGGCCCATTATAATTTCTATCTGCGACTATAATAAGAAGAAAATCGTTTTCCATTTTTTTAAATAATTTAAAAGAAACTAGCATACTGCATAGTTGGCAATTTTTCAAAAATACTTATAAATATGTATTTTTTCTTTTTCTTTTTTTCCACGCATTTCGAGGTTTGAACTCAAAACCTTCTGATTAATTCTAACTCCTTTGGACTCCATTATAGTTTATATTAAGATTTTATAAGAATCAAGTTCTTACTGTCACACGGTAATAAAAAGAGAACTATCTTTGAATTTAAAAAATCATAATAAAAATGAGTAGATGCTTTTGTTATTAAAATTTCGGCTTATTTTTTTTTTAATAAAGTATCTATCTTTTCATTTCTCTTTTAATTGTAAAACATTTTAATGATGGTGAGGACAAGATTAGTACTCACCGATAAGGAGACAAGTATTTTCCTTATCAAATGATTAAGATTCATTCTAGGGTAGAAAAGAAATAGTTTCTCCTATTTGAATTCTCTATGAATTCAAACTGCCCTCCGAAAATCGGAATTTCTCTCGTCCAAAGAATTCAAAAGGAGAAAATATTATATTTGAGTCTAAGTTTTTCCCTCGATAATGTAAGGCTTTTAAACTATTGTGTGCAAAGGGACTTTTAAACTATTTTGTGACGTAATGCACAACATATATTATTAATTAATAATATTTTCAAGATTGACAGGGGACTCGAATCTCATATCCAATCTAGAACTGTCGCCGAATTATTTGTATCATCCAAACTTAATTCCTCCATATGCTTAGGAAGGTTTCAACATCTTTTGTCATATAAACATATTTTTTAAAACAATATTTACGTACTTACTAGTTAGCATCACTCTCTTCTAATCTCTGATTTATCATTGTCAAATAATATTTAGGTAGGAAATTTTCAATCAATTAAATTTATTTAACGATTTCTTATGAGTCCTTGGTACTCGAAGAAGTGTCAAACTCCTCAATCCATTCTACGAAGAAATTGAAAATAGAGATTCTAAATTATTCGTAATTAATTATTTCTTAATTTTTTAAATAAAAAATCTTTATCTATAATATAGAAAATACCTAAAGAAAAGATGTTTTTTTTTATTTAAAAATAATGACCCATCAATTTTTGTAGTCCTAAAGCTAAATATTTTTCTCCACTTTATGAGCTCAATTTTCACGCTTTACAATCCCTGCTAGAAGTAGTGACATAGGTACTTGTGCTTGTCTCTGTCTATAATCTCCAATTAATAGACGATATAGATTATTTTGTCAATTGGTTTTGAGATAGAACCTCATTAATAGTAATACTCATGTCTTTTTCTCTTGCTTGTCTTTCACCGTTCAAACTTTCGGTCATTCATGGCCACAACTATTAACTTTCCTTTCCATTTTATTTATTTATTATCTCACTTGTGCCAAATATGTTATTGTAATTCTAGAATTCATGGATATTTGGGACATGCAATTTTATTGCTCATTATTAAAAATATGAAACAGAAACAGAAAAACAAAAACGTTATTAAATGGTTCCAAAGTGTTTAACCAGAAAGCACGGTAACTTCTAACTTATTTCAAAATATATTTATAACAAAATTGTTTTATAAAAAAATATATATGTTTTTTAAGTTTATCGATAATATTTCAATTCAACTTTTACATTTTAAGCATAAAGTCAAGTTGGCACATAATTAGTCTTGCAAACATATATTAATTAAGCAATGACTAAAAACTCATTTAACCAATTATTGCATAAGAATGATGTTAATGTTTAGTAAGATAAAACTAAAAAGTCTGCCCTTTGTGATTGAAAAGACATGCACAGGGGAAGTAATTGGGTGTGTTGCTGTTTGGGGGAACAAACCGTGTTTTTAAAGCGTAAAATAATACTTGTTTGGCAACATATCTATAATCTTCTTGATCTTTGGAAATATATTGACACAGATTAAGGAAGCATCCACACGTAACTTTCCAACCCATAAATTAATAACGAAGGATACTTAATTAACTCCTCTCACATGTCGATCTTAGTCGAATCTCATTTTTTAATAAGATGTTCGTTTGAACTTTTTGGACTTTAATACCATATCAATATTCTTGAGGTTTCATCTCAAAATCAATTGACGATAAAATGGTAGTCCATGTGTATTATGAATCTTTGTAAAGTCCCTTCTATTTTTAATTTGAGATGTTTAATACTCAGTCATTATTAAATGTTAGAAATACAAAAACTAGAGAATATTTTTTAAAAAATTAATGAGCTATATCGTTGTAACTAATAATAATTATCCCAAAATTAATAACACAATGCAAAATTCCTGTAATAAAAATCTAACACAGGGACATGTTTTTGCAGTTATTTATTTAGTTGATTAAAAGATGGACAGTTAATTAGTTTATGTGTTAATTAGTGTTATCAAATTGTTAATTAGTAATTTTAGAATTAGTTTGCTATTTTATAATAAGACTATAAATAGTTACTTTTAATATTGTAATATAAACTCTAATAAGATATCTATCATTTACCAAAACGAGCATAGTTCAACAGTTGACATATATCTACGTAATAGACATTTATCATGTTGCCAAAATGAGCTTGTGGAGCAACGCGTCCGTCACTGATTTACGTTGCAACTTGATGACCTTTTTTCTCATAGTGCTGTCATTTTCGTAGGGCCGGTAGGAGGAAGATTCCTGGGAATTAAGCTCACACCGACCCCAGTACAGGGGAGTTCACACTTCTCACCTGCTATAAATATGCCTCGCCCGGCCCCAAACAACTAGTCTTGCTATCACAAATTCAACCGAATTTTACAAGTTGAGATCGCATGGCGAGCTCTGCCAGGGTGAGCCCAGAAGTTGTTGATGTGATCATCAATATGGCTCCAAAAACTGTCCCACCTCCTCCACATCACAGCCCCATCAGCTCCCAAAATGGCCCTTCTGGTTCCATCCCCGTCACGAGCCCATCCACTCTGCAGCTGCTGCCGGTGCTCACCATCATGCTGATGAAAGAGCCCCGGTCGATGCCATCCACCGCCATGTCGAGACCGCGCAAGGTTGCGAGTGTTATTSCAGCTAGAAGAAAATTGGTGAAGACGATGGTGTTTGAGTCCATCATTCGCTTTCTTACTTCCTTCTTCGCTCCTCCCCCACCAAATAACGACACTCACGAGTGGACCATCGTGGAAGTTAGAATTTCACGAGAGGAAGTTTCACACGGAAGGTATGATGTTTATATTTCACTGTATTATCATGGCACTCAAAAGCTCTATTTATACAAAAGTATATCCTAAGTTTAGCAGAAAAAGAATCTAAACTTTAACAAAA